AACAACAACAACCATTAGGAAAACTGCACCAATGTGTTGTCTTACAGACAGTACCCAAGTACTTGAATAACTAATTAATGATACTTTAATAAAGAAGGAACTAATTAAAAACAACCAGTAATGCTTGGTAACAACAGGTCTTTCAACTTTTTGAGAAAACTGAAGTAGACACCAAATTATTGCCAGGAAATTATCTGTCTGTATTAGTTTGCAGTAAAATAATCTGATGCCTCTTACCTGGAGGACAGTGGTTCCTGGCTCCACCTCCACTGGTTTCCCATCCACAAACACTTCCACCATGTTGCTGGCAGCACGCACTAATGTACGCACTGAAAATGCAAATAAAACATCAGTTGTTGAAATTCTAGCAATATATTAATACAAATGAACATGTGTAACAATTACTCAGTTCCCACAAAGGTGTCATAGAAATAAATCTGTATATTAAGCAGACCTGCATTTCAGACAAATATATATTTATACACATGTATATATACAATTCTAATTTACAAATGTACACAAGGACCTTGAGCAATTCCAGTGAGGAACCTTGACACATGCACAGATGTAAATACAGACTTGTATAAACACACACACTTCTGATCTTACCGGTGTTGGAGGGAGCCAGACTGCCCTTGGCAGCACCGGCTAGAGCCCGGCCGACAGCCGGCAGTCGCAACATGACGCTGTGAGAGGAAGCAACATGTGAGTTAATATTATTCAGAAATGCCATGTATCAAATGTAATTTAAGAAATCTGCGATCTGACTTGATTTTGGGAGACTTTGAGCAGCAAATGCTCAGTTCAGCAAAGTAAACATTCAAATTTGAACAGTAATCATTTTAAGAAAGAGCAAATCCTAAATAGTTTCTGTTACAGTCGCTGACATTTCTGTACAAAAGTGACCTAAAGGATTCATCAACTATAAAAAGCGTGGGATTAATTGACTGCTTGACTATTTGTTTCAACTCCATCGCAGTACAAATGTTAGTGGCTTGTTAAGCGCTGAGAAAACAAACCTATGACACTGTTTTGGTGAGGCTGTCATGACACAGAAACCAGAATGGCTTGAGCCTGTCTGCAATTCTTCTTTTACTAGAAATCATTGAATTTAAAGTAGTTCCATAAACTGTGACATGACAAAGTTTAGATGCAAACTTTAAAGTCAGCATTTTAAGGAAAAACATTCATCCAACTGCTGAACAACCTCAAAACTTATGTCACAGTCAAACCAACAGGTTTTCATGAAGCATCTTTTATTGCAGGGTTTGTTGTTTTGGGATGAGTCCCAGTGCTAGCGCTGATAACCTAACAAGCTATCAACAACAACGTGTTATTGTCCTTCCACCACGGGACGTTTCAGGGACATAAAGCACAGAGGACAGGTGGGTTTTCCACGACATGATAATATGATGGCACGAGTACAAACTGTTATAAAGCAACGAGGACACGAGAAGGAGCTAAAAGCAGCATGAACCTTGCAGAGAGGACGCAAGCTAGCAGCGTTAGCTCAGAGCGCTAGTCAAGGACACAGTGTTGTAAGAGGGTAACTGCGGGTTAATGGGTCCAACGCGTACTTTTACCCTTTATTTGCGGTTAAATAACGTAAAAACTCAAACGCATGTAAGAGAATATTGTCGCTTTTCGGTCTTACCTTTCGCTATTTGGCCTTCTGGACCAGAACAGCGGTGAACTGAGTCCGAACTACCAGTGGTATAACGATGGCAGCTGTTAGCGGAAGTGGCGTTACAGCTCACTTCCGTTTGAGGTTAGACTTTGAATTTCACCATAAAAGTTTTTAAATTAAAATAAAAAGAGACTTTTAATTAACTTATAATAATAATAATTATTGTTATTATTGCTGATGTTGTTATTATTATTATTAGCGATAGTAGTGGTAGTAGTATTAATATGACACTTTAGTATTAAATATATGGTCATTCAGATATGATGGTGTATTTTTCTTCGTACTTTGTTGGAATGCCTTAAGTTTCTATTCTCGTCCATGTGTCTGTCAGCAATTCAACATTTAATAAAGTTATTATTCAGATAAAAGAAGGTCGTCGTTTATTCAGATTAAAACAAGATCCTGATTTTCACAATAAAACCTTGATGCGTTGACATGACATGATGTTTTGTTTTGAAGTTATTTATTTTTTACTGCACTCTCATACAATCCATTGAGTTGATTGCAGTAATTTGTTAACACAACAAAAATGGGTTTTACGATGACCGGACAGCTTGGCTTTACATCTTCGACTACATTTCCCAGGATGCCCCGGAAGTTCAGCGGAAGTCACTACGTGGTCTCTTTCCCAGATCAGGAAGCGTCAACAAACAAACTAGACCTGGTGCTTTCTCCTGTGAAGGAGTGCAACAAAATAAACTGGTAAATATCCTCAGACATGGAGCGATTTAGTTTTTGATCTGCCTTTTATACTAAATCTGTCTGAAACGAGACTGAACAGGCCGTTTGATCTTATTAAACTAGCTAGCAGCTTGCTAACTGTGTCTGCTAGCGTCAAGTAACTTAAATATATAACCTATATCAGTGTTTATAGAGATAAAATACGTAGAATGTGTGTTATAACTGCTCAATGTGTCATTGTTTTATATGTGAACAATCAGTTAGCTTAGCTTGGTCAGTGTGTAGCTTAGCTTTGCAGTAACACGCTGTGTTTATGTGATATCACCATTTGTAATGACTTATCAGTGATAGCACACAAAAGGTTTAATGTGGTGCACATCTAAATATGTGTGTTATTTATTGAAGAGCCACGATGTGTGTGTGTTGTTGTAGACGTGTTGTAACTAAGGGTGTTCAATCAGAAAGTCAAAAAAATCAAGCTCCAAGTCCATGATCTGACAGTCTTTAAGTTTTGTCTTGTGTACAGTTTTATTCTTGTGTACATTTTGTGTATCTGTTGTTAACCACACAGCTCAACACAGTCAGTTTTAGTCTATTGATCAGGATCAGGATTGTTGGAGCATTTCAACCTGTCTGTCATCTCCCTCACCTTCTTGCACTTGAAATCAAATCTGCAGCACCATGTTGCCGACCACCTCGCCGCACAGCAACGGCGCCCCTGGCTCCAGAGACGCCGCACGCCACACGGCGGGCGCCAAACGCTACAAGTACCTGCGGCGGCTGCTGCATTTCGGACAGATGGACTTTGATTTTGCCATATGGCAGATGCTGTACTTGTTCACGTCGCCACAGAGGGTCTACCGCAACTTCCACTACAGGAAACAGACCAAGGACCAGTGGGCCAGGGACGACCCTGCGTTCCTGGTGCTGCTCAGCATCTGGCTGTGTGGTGAGTGTGTTGATAAAAACACCTTGTAATTATATCTGTTTGTTAGTTTTCACACCAATTTGTCTTCCTCGTCTTAATGCAGCTGGTTTAATCCTGATAACTAAATGCTCCCTGTGTTCGTCTGTAGTGTCAACATTAGGCTTTGGTCTGGTGCTGGACATGGGTGTCCTGGAAACTCTGAAACTTCTGCTGTGGGTGGTTTTTGTCGACTGTATAGGAGTTGGCCTGCTCATATCGACGCTCATGTGGTGGGTCGCAAGTTGGTCTGGTTTACCGTATGAAAATCATCTTCACATTGTCGCTCTCGCTATTTTACAATTGAGCTCTAAGGTGGATTCTGTTCTTCTGTTGTCTTTTCCAGGGTTATCAGCAACAAGTACCTTCTAAAACAACCCAGCAGAAATTTTGACGTCGAGTGGGGCTACGCGTTTGATGTTCACCTCAATGCGTTCTACCCACTGTTAGTCATCCTGCACCTTCTGCAGCTCTTCTTCATCAACCGTGAGTTGAAGATGTGTGATTTTTAGCCCCATTCAGTTCAAGCTGTTAAATGATCTTTAAATGTGCATTTAACATGTTTTAATCATTCCTATAAAATATCCAAGACGAGAATGTCTTAAATTTTCAACTTAATCAGGGGAAAAAAAGAGTTTTTGTTATAAGAGCAAGATAAAAACTAAATCAACACCAGACTTACACAGATTTATTTTATCAGATGTTGTGTCTGTATTTGCAGTTTGTCATTTTGTGTGTTTCAGATGTTGTGGTGATAAACTCAGACTGGTTCCTGGGATACTTTGTCGGAAACACTTTATGGCTCATTGCCATTGGTTATTATCTCTACATCACCTTCTTAGGGTACAATGGTAAGCCCCGTTCACCCCAATCTTTATACTCAGTCCATGGAGGCGCTGCTCAAAACTCAACTTTTTGATTGGTTGGAGTTATGATCATATACTATATTAGTTTATGTTTTAGTGTGATTTTATATGTCTTTACACAAAGTATCTTCTGTCTTTAATCCGTCATCGTGTGTCGTCCCTGCAGCTCTTCCCTTCCTGCAGAACACGGTGGTGCTGCTCTACCCCTTCGCTCTGCTCTGCCTCTTCTACGTTCTCTCCGTCTCTTTGGGCTGGAACTTGACTCAGGGCCTCTGCTCATTTTACAAATTCAGAGTCCGGTAGAACCAGTTTGCCCCTCAGACTGGACACGAGACGCCTTCAGGCCGACAAGCCAACAAAATCAGTTTTGATGACATCAAATCTATTTCTAGCCGCTGCCGGCCAACATCTGGTGGAGAGGGACTCTGGAAACTGGGACCTCTAGGTTGAGGGACGCTGACTCACACTTGATTTCCTGTTTGTCTCTCATGATGACCTGAAGCTGAAGAGTGGTGTGTTTGGACTAGTTCCAGAAACAACGGGACAGAAGAGATGGAGCTTTTATCGTTGGTCTTTTTTGTATGATTTGTAAATAGTTCTCTGGCAGGTTGTAATATATACACGGAGCGTTGTTTCTGAAGAGGAGAAATTTGCTTTGTTTCTTTGAGTTTTCATTTAAAAAAAACTAAACAGAACAAAATGAAATCCTGATTATTGAAGAGAGGAAAGGAAAGTGGAGGAATGTGGGATGCAAACTTTTTTTTCCTTTTCTTTTTCTCTTGAAGTGTACATTCCAGAGCACTTTCAATAAAAGGTTTTATTAATTTCAGTGGATGTGGCTTTAATTCCTGGAGAAATAAATCTGAACTTACTGTTTACAATAATTATTGTACTTTAATTCTCATTCATAGCATCATGAATTGTTGTCTTTCTCTGGCCTTCTTTCTTTCTTTTTCTTCCATGTCACTGTTTTGGGTTTCATTTCTATGTCCATCCTTCTTTTACTTCTTCCACTTTCACATTTTAAGTCCAATATGTAAATATCAAGAGAAAAATAATGTAAAATAGAAAAATAGAGTGCAATTGTAGTAACACGCTAATGCCTTATAGTGGCACTGTTGTCCCTGCAATGGGTGACGACATAATGTCAACCATGTGCTGGAATAACATCCTGTAATGTTTATGTTTTATAATATATAATACAAGCTTTTAATATCAGCCATTAGTGGAAATACCTCATTAGATGTTTAATCTACATATATATGAAGCATCAGTAGTATTTCTTGGCTCTAATGACACAATGCTCTCAGACAGCATATGAAGTTATAGAAGTTAGAAGTTGAATTTCATTTTAGTTCTTTTTCCACCACACAAAATAAGATGTAACCAACAATCCTCACTTTCTTTATTCACAAATTTGTAAAGAAACGTGAAGTTTATGGGCTCTTATTGAATCCTCCTCACTCGTGTGAAGGTTTTTTATATTCTGTTCTTACGGCTCAGAATCAGTGTATTTGTTGGTTAGATGCGTTTTCATGATGTAACAAAGAAAACATGAGAAAAGTTGTTGTATTCCTGCCTTCAGCTTGTCACAGCATCTCTCTACTTCAGTGAGTTCATGAACATCTGCCTGAACTTCTCCAGGTCGACGTTCCGCATGATGGTGACCTTGTGTGTCTTCTTCAGCAGCTCCATGTAGTCCAGCACCATCATGCCTCGGGTGTATTTCCCCTCCAGCTCCACTGCCACGGCAACCTGGGCCAGGAAACGGAGGGAAGGAAGAAAAATGTTTTGAGCTGGACGGAGATTTTAAAAGAAGAAGAAACCGCAGGGGCCGCTCACCTCTTCACTCTCTATTATAAATGTGTCGTCGATGGCTGCAGCCATGGCGTAGGTGTCACAGGAGTTGAACCCTTTTCCTTCGGTGATTTCCTTCTGATAGTCGGCCGACTGAGCTTTCTGCAGAAGATATCATGAAATGACTTTTTACTGGTGATGGGAGGGGTCAGAGTTATCAAATGAGGGTTTCACAGCTCCCTGTTCTTACCTTCATTGAGAGGCTGGTGATCTTCTTCATAAACAAGGCCTTCTCTGTGTTTTGGGACAACCAGTGCTCACAGAAAGACTAAGGAAAAGTTATAGGTGGTTAGTTTGAAATTTAAATATAGACTTTACCTGCAAATATACAATATATTTTAAATAGAAGGATAAATACTTCCCAATCCAAGGGGACATTTAATGCATTCACTGGGAAATGGACCCATTTCTCCACCACTGTTCTGAAAAACCTATAAAAACTCCTTCTAACACAAACCGAACCTCCGTAAGACGACTGACAGAAATGTTCACGTTCGCAGCCTCACCCATGGCAGACTGTTCCTGCAGCTGAACTCCCAGGGGGCGATGTAGGTGGGGCAGGTGTAGCGCTCCAACACGATGTGAGCAGCCTCGGGGTCGGCTACAAAGTTGAACTCTCCGCACACTGTGGTGTTACCCCTGGCTACACACACACACACACACATATGTAACAGAAGGGACAAATGCATGTATTTCTGTGTTCATGTTTTAAAATGACTAACATACAGTCTGTGTTTCCCCCCATGATGTAAAGAGCCTTGAGTTTCTTGGGGAGGGAGGGGTCCAGTTGTACTGCAACGGCCAAGTTAGTGAGGGGGGCCGTGGCCACCAGGGTCACCTGTACACAGAGCAATGAAACAGAAAAACACACTTTTTTCTTTTTCTCTGAACGCTTCCTCAGAACAAGACGTATTTCTGGCTCGTGCTTACCGAAAGAGAAACCCCCCCACAAAGGTCAGAGGTCAAAGTCAATACATATCAATCTCGTCCTTGTCTACAGCAGCTTCAGATGTTACATATGAGTAATCCTACCATCAGGAACTGAAACAGGAAAGTCCGAAGGAATTTTACGGTGTGTGTCTCACCTCTCCGGGGTTTTGATTGACAATCTTGACCATGGCAGGCACACCTCTTTTCTTCTGCAGCAGCTCCAGGCCGGGGGCGTCCGGGTCCGGGACATCACCCAGGCCATCCTTCCCGTGGTAATCTCCAGCGTGGCGTCGGTTGGCCAGAAGGGGCCCTGAGCATCCTCTGTACACTGGAATCTGAGTGTGATAGTTGTGTAGGCATGTGTCACCCTCTCACTCAGATATATATAATATATATAATATAATATAACTTACATCCAGTCTTTTGCAGGCTTTCAGGACTCGCAGCGTGTTGTGTAGGACGTTCTCAAGTGGCGTGTTGCCATAGCAGCAGGTGATCCCCAAAATCTCCACATTGGGGTCCGCCAGGGCCACCATGATGGCCTGAGCATCGTCCACCCCTGTGTCTGCATCGATGAGCAGCTTTTTTTTCATGCTACACTCAAACACAAGTAAGAGTCCTGTTGTAAATCTCCTCTGAATTCTGCAAATGTTAGTTGTGACATTCTATTGCATCCTGTCAAACATACACACACACACACAAACACGAATGACTCCTGGAAAACTGTGGTGTCTTCGCAAACATATTCTATAATGAACACTTGCTTATGGCATTCAAACGTTTATCTATAGCAAATGAAGTGTGGATCCTTCAAACATGCACCAAACTGTGTTTTAAAGCAGCACTATGCAACTTTTCAACTTAAAACTGCAGCTTCAAATTTGTTTGATGGTTCACTGACTTGGAATAGAGAGAGAGGTGTGCAACTTTTCAGAACCAGGTTCTGGAAAGTTCAAGAGTAAAGCTGAACTGTATCATTAAAAAGAACCAGGAAGTCAATAAAAAAAAACAGTGTTTGAATTTGAATTTTAAGTGAAATTTAAAATATAAAGAATTCTGAACAGAGTTTGGTCGATTTACAGCAGCAGCTCTTCTGCGTCACTAGGCTGGGGATTATGGGTAAAATCTTCCGTTAAGCTGTGTTTCAGCTTTACGCAGACAACACATTTATAGGCTTGGGTTAGGGATAGGATTACCCTATGTTTTTTCTTTCCATGAAAACCATTTAATTGCTTATAACTAATCACCACATATGGCTGCAGAGGGCGCTGTTGCTCAGCAAAGGTAACACTGCTGCTTTAAAACACTTAAAAAATTGTGAGTCAGAAACGTATATATCATATGAAGTATAAAAAATCTAATCTAAACAATATGAATAAGTACAGGTTGAGCAATTTCCATTTTGATTTAATTTTACAGCTTGTTTAAGTGAAATCTAAATTCATATAAGTTAAAATGACAGATATTCATGTTGTAAATGAGAATAATAAAAGTATTCTACTAAGAAAATGAGTCTCACTTTGTGGATGAGTGATGTCGTCCTGGTGTTTGCTGTGTGATGAGCTGTAGCTGCTGTGTGCTCTTATCTTTGCTGCAGCCTTTTAAAAGCCAAAAGCACAAGGAGTTTCTTATGTAAGAGGAAACACACTCTGGCCAGGGTATGTTTCCACAGAGAGGCAAAATTTGATAAGATTTCAGAGCTGAAATCCTTGTTGTTGGAATTCGTTGTGATGGAAAACAGGCTTTTTACTTCTCCAGAGAAACAAGGTGGAACAAAATATAACATGATGGGAACAATAAGCTGTATGACCTACTCCACTTTCACAAATTCAAAGAAAACCTTTTTTTCAAAAAAATAAAAGCTTCATAATGAAATCCAACAACTTTTAAAAATTGAAATGAAAATAATGAAAATATATTAGGCGTCATGGGGAAAAAGTTTCAACTTAAGACTTTCTATCTGTCGACCAGAGAAGTACAACTTGTGCTGGATACAAAAGCATGGGAACAATGTGTCCTTAAAAAAATTCTTTAAAAGTTTAGAGAGTTTTTTTAAGAACACATTGTTCCCAGATACTTTAGAGTCTAAAGCATCTGTCATGAATAAAAGCCTCATGGTGACTTCTGCTTTTCATGCTTGCATAAAATATTTGTCCCCTGACATTGCTGCATCTTTTCAGGGGTTTTTTCAGTTTGCATTCCAGCTTTGCACAAGAGCAATCATTGCTGTCTATCTGCCCCCTGCCACGAAATTGGGAAATGTTATATTCGTCCTCCATGCTCAGGCTGTCTGAGGAACTGTGTCATATGAAGGATTATATGGCTGCAGCATGTGGTAAACTAATGGATGTGGCTATTAAACATTACATCTAGTGACAAAAATCTCACACAACAACGAATTGTCAACATCCTCAAATATCATATCCGCAAAGCTCTGAGAATTTATGCCCGCACAATAACAGAGATGCATTGATTTTGTGTGTTCTCCCGTCCCGCAGGAGAAACACGTCATTTTATAGGCTCTGAATAGAGAGATTCATGGGGTCGTTTGTTTCGTGTCTTCTGACGCACTGGTCAGGAACAGCGCTCCTTGAGAAGCTGCTTACTTTGACCGGGGAGAGCAGAGCAGGTGTGTCGCCTCAACACAGAGCTTGTGACAGATTTCAGTCCGTTGCAGACTTTTCTCGATCCCGCAATGTTTTTTTTAGCCCGTTCCCGTTCGCAGCAAAGCTCAAACCGCACGCTCTCGCGAGATTTGCGTTGGGTCCCGCGGGAACCCGGTGGGACCCACTGCAGCCCTCTGCTCCCCACCACCAAGTCCCTTCTGCACTGAGGAGAACTCCCAGACTCCTATAAGGTTTGAATCTGTGTGCTCAGGGTTCCTGAGCAGTCCTCTTACCACCTGAGCTGTAGTTCTTGTTCTGACATGCAATCACAACCTTTTTAAAATGAATTTGAGTGTTAGCATTGGGCACGGGACTTTAAATGTGATCAGACAAGATTTGAACTCTGGTCTGCAGAAGTCCCGGTCGTCTTTCAACAGACTGAGCTATTTGAGCTTCATCTTCCTCTCGTGAAGTTCTCAATTATTTGATTTGTGCGGTAAACTTCATAAACTCAGAGTCTAATAAGATTTGAACTTGTGCCCTCACTGTTTCCAGCCTCTGCTAGGTAATAAGATATTTGAAGGAAAATTGGAATAAATCCAATATATTTTGTGTTTAATTGCCAAAGCTGAAAAAAAGGTGATATTTTACGAGAGGAGCCATTTTTATTTATTTTGATCGTTCAGATTCACTTCTTACAGCATCTTTCTACTTGAGAGCATCCATGAGCAGTTTCTTGAACTTCTCCAGGTCGACCTTTTTCATGATGGTGACCTTGTGTTTCTTCTTCAGCAGCTCCATGTAGTCCAGCACCATCATGCCCCGGGTGAACTTCCCCTCCAGCTCCACCGTCACCGCCACCTGCACAAAGAACATGAGGGAGACCATTGTTGGAAAGTGATGTGAGCTGAGATGATTTGTGCAAATAAAAAGGCAGCGGCCCCTCGCTCACCTTCTCGCTCTCTGTTATGATTGTGTCGTCGATGGCTGCAGCCATAGCATAGGTGTCGCAGGAGTTGAAGCCTTTTCCTGCTGTGATCTCCTTCTGATATTCGGCCGACTGAGCTTTCTGCAGAGGCAACACATCAGCATCACTTTATATCATTTTATAAGACTCCTCACTGTTTCCAAACACTTCTATTTATCTGAGCTATTTGTTCAGATGGCTCCATCCAGTTTCTTTAAGCTGCGGAGTGTTTGCATTGGGTATTGCTTCTTTAAAATTCATTTAGTCAGACAAGATTTAAACTCACATTGAATAAAAAAGCATTTATTGCATGCAGGGGTTTCTACGGCATTTTTGCCTTTTTTGATTGTTTGATAAGTGTAAAATGGAAAGAGACATGTAGAACCAAACCTGCAGCCACTGCACAAGGCCACATGTTCTACCAGGTGAGCTAGACAGCTGCAGGTGGGTGTTTATCCATCTTGCATGGTGTGTATGATATGTCAAACTTTATTAGTTGGTGGTGCTCCCTTCTGCCAGAAACCTCCAAGGGCCCAGCTGAGTGCGTGATTACTCCTCTGAGAACACTGCATAGCTTCTACTTGTGCATACACATGCAATGCTTTAATAATCTTTTAGTCGAGGGAATCTTGTGAAATGCATTCATGTTCTCGTGCGTGTTTCAGCACAGTCCGACCATCTCTCTCCTCATATCACTTACTTTCATCGAAAGGCTGGAAATCTTTTTCATGAAGACAGCCTTCTCTGAGCCTGAGGCGAACCACTGGTCACAGAAAGACTGGGGGGGGGGGGGGACACAGATTCAAACAATGATTCTGTTGTGTTAACACCAGCAGTGAAGGGTTAAAGCCCCTCCTCAGGTTGATCTCCGCAGCCTCACCCATGGCAGACTGTTCCTGCAGCTGAACTCCCAGGTGGCGATGTAGGTGGGGCAGGTGTAGCGGTCCAACACGACGTAGGCAGCCTCAGAGTCAGCCACAAAGTTGAACTCTCCACACACAGAGGTGTTGCCCCTGGCTACACACACACATAAACAGACATGCAACAAAATGTAGAATACAGCAGATTGAATGTATATTTTCACAATCTAGTGAAAATAACGTACAGTTGGTGTTTCCTCCCATGATGTAGAGGGCCTTCAGCTTCTCAGGGAAGGAGGGCTCCAGTTGCACTGCGACAGCCAGGTTAGTGAGGGGGGCCGTGGCCACCAGGGTCACCTGTACGGATGCAGCAAAGTTAGACATGTTGCATCCTGTATCATGTTTTAATTGATTTGTTGCAGAAACTGGTGACACCGGCTCTCCACTCATGGTAACTAAAGGATGACTGATAGTTATTTAATGGCAATGCAGACAAAGCAAAAGTCTGAGTCCTACCAAGACACTATACACTATACAAGAAGCAAGTATTTGATTAAATCAGGATTTTCCTAATTAAAGGAAATTAAGAATGTGTGTCTCACCTCTCCAGGGTTCTGTTTCACTAGCTTGATCATAGCCTTCACCCCGTTCCTCTTCTGCAGCAGATCCAGGCCCGGAGCATCTGGATCCGGGACGTCGCCCAGCCCGTCTTTCCCGTGGTAATCTCCAGCGTTCCTTTTAGGAGCCAGCAGGGGCACTGCACAGCCGCGATACACCGGGATCTACAGGGTACGAGAGGTCATGCTTCATACAATATCATGCATGGGGGAAATTCAGCCAACCAACCACGACGGCTCCCACACAGTTGTCTTTCAAACTTACATCCAGCCTGTTGCAGACTTTCAGGACGCGCAGCGTGTTCTTGAGCACGTTCTCCAGGGGCGTGTTGCCATGGCAGCAGGTGATGGCCAGGATCTCCACATCAGGGGCCGCAAGGGCCATCATGATGGCCTGAGCGTCATCCACTCCAGTATCCACATCGATGATCAACTTCTTCTTCATCCTATGACAAACAACATGTGGAGAGAAGTAGTTTCTGTTACACTTCCTACACTTACTTTCAATAACCAGATAATTAATAATCAGATCTGCAGATAGTTGATCGTGGATTTTGGCTGAAAGGTTCAGTTGTTCATTGGAATGGATTCTAGACCACAGGGAGTGACATGATAAACAACAGTCTCTGGCATTTTGTGTAAGATGGCATTCCAAAACTTTTTCACGATGTAATTACAGTGGCGGACGGAGCCCGGGGCAACACATGCGAGACAGATTAGGACAAGCTGTGCTCCATCTGAAACACTTTATTAATATAAATGTACAGCGTTGAGAAAGTAACCTGCTACATACAGTATACAAAATAAATGATGTATCTTTGCACTTTCAGGTTATAAGTAAAATACAATATTTGTCTGTGCAGCAAACGCTAAGACATGAAGTGGGGCAGGGCTGAGGAGGGTAAAGTCAGGAGACTTTGTGGCCCCGGGTAAAAAGGTGCGGGACCCTACTTCAAACCAAACCCCAAAAGACAAACCACACCCTGGTATAAGTGTTAAACTTCTTAAACATCTGAAACAAACAGAAACTGAACATAATCTTATTCCAGCAATGTGAATCGTTCCTGTTTTTGGTCTGAAGTTAGAATCAAATGTAAAATCCTCACCTGCTGAGTGGATCCTGACAGCGTTTTTACTGCTTGAGAAGGAAGCGGCGGCTACAGACTGCTTCAACCTGAATAGCTGCCTTATAAAGGCCAGAGACAAATAGGTGTTGGCCTATGCAAAAGCAGCAGGATGGCATACAAGTAGCTTCAGGTTTTACGAGCATTCAGACTAGTTTCATTTGATTTTCCATTAGTTGGAATCTGTCGGCCTGACAGAAATAACGCAGAACAATGAATTTAAAAGTTTGTTTGCTGCTGATGCAGAGAGTTAAATGCATTTTTCTGCAGAAAGGTTTAAATCAATGTCTAACATGTGCAGCCAGGATACAATACGTCTGAATAAATGTGATTTCCTTGATCTACTGAAGAAGATAGAGAGATTTTGTGCATGTTAATTTTGACTCATATACAGATCAGAGACATGGACCAAAGTTACAGAAATGCAATGTGAAGAATTTTGGCCTTTTGACTGAAACCGAGGACATTGTTGTGAATGTCATATCTCACTGACAGACCTCTCCGTTTGAGTAGCTGTGGAGATTTGAATACCACAGAAATGTAATGCAACCGAGTATTTCACAATAATCACTTCATCCCGACATTCAAACCTTAAAATGAGACATTTTGTTCTTGTTCCAATCTGAATATCAGCAATAATTGTCTGCTTCACAGATCCTGTTCAAACCTGCCTCATGTCCCTGATGGATTCAATTACAGGTTCTTTCCTCAAACTAAAGGGTTTGAAACCTCACCCGGTGTGAACCTACAGTGAAAGTACAGTAAACGTCTCCAGGCTTGAAAGAATTCTTTGTTAAACTGGAGTACAGATGGAAAAAGGTGAGACGCCTATGTTGCTTCCACTGTCTTCCTTCTCTGGAGTTTTATCCAAACTACAAAAGATGATGATCATATTTAAAAAGAGTTGAATTGAGTCACATGATTTAGACTCCTTCATTAATTTCAATTATTTAATAATTTCATTTATTTTACAACTTGAAAGCTTCCAGTCATCATTGGACGCCTCATGAGTCACTGCTGGAAGACATGAGAAGAGTGTTCATTTTGCCTTCAGGCTGGAAAATGTTTAAATAAACCCATGATAAACTATTCCCCAGCATGCAACACTTTTTCTTGCAGATCTTGCAGCGTTAATGCATTTAATACTGGAGTCAAAGTTTAGGTCGAACCACTGACTTTATGTAAAGATGGTTGACGTGTCTCCACTTCCTCCCACAATGCAGTAATTTAAGCCAAAATATCCCTCATATGAACCAGCCACCAGGGGGCGATACAGATACTTTGGCCTCACTTTGCTGTCATTTCATGCATCTTTACAGGCAATCTATGCTTTGAACAATGAATGTAAATATAGAAGAATTACAAGAAGAAGAGGGTCAGTTATTGAGCCAGCACATGTAGTTTATATACGTTTCATTTATACCGTAAACTTTTTTTTTTCCTTTTTAAAACACTGAAGCACATTCTGAGAAATCCATGTTACTTCAACGCATCCATCAACATTTGCTTGAACTTCTCCAGGTCGACCGTCTTCATGATGAACGCCTTGTGTGTCTTCTTCAGCAGCTCCATGTAGTCCAGCACCATCATGCCTCGGGTGTAGGTCCCCCCCAGCTCCACCGTCACCGCCACCTGGACGAGGAAAGTGAAGCTGGAACATCTGCTTCATACTTGAACCACTTTTGGAATTTGTTTGCTAGAAAAGTTTAGTAAAAAGTATAAAATGTCACCTGTTCGCTTTCTGTCAGCAGAGTGTCGCTGATGGCTGCAGCCACTGCGTAGGTGTCACAGGAGTTAAACCCAGGTCCTGACACCAGCTCCTTTTGATACCGCTCCGTCTGGACCATCTGCGATTCAAGACAACGAATTAACAGCAACACTAATTCTGAATTTTTGTTTGGGACACTCTCGTACCTTCCTGGTGTGGCAGGAAATCCTCTCCATGAAACGAGCCTTGTCTGTATCTTGGGCCAGCCAAGTGTCAACGAAGGACTGAGGGAGAAAGATATGTTTTCTTATTAGTGTCACATGCTCAGCATCTCTGGTCGTCAAGGATGCTCCATAGAGACCCGTGTTAGCTGGTGTTTAATGACAGACCCATGGCAGACTGCTCCTGCAGCTGAACTCCCAGGTGGCGATGTAGGTGGGGCAGGTGTAGCGGTCCAACACGACGTAGGCAGCTTCAGAGTCAGCCACAAAGTTGAACTCTCCACACACTGTGGTGTTACCCCTGGCTGCACACACACAAATCAAAATCAGTGTGACAAACACTGAGTTGAACATTTAGAGAAAGATACAATCACACATGACAACGCACACTCGGTGTTTCCTCCCATGATGTAGAGCGCCTTCAGCCTCTCAGGAAGGGAGGGGTCCAGCTTCACCGCCATGGCCAGGTTAGTGAGGGGCGCAGTGGCAACAAGACTCACCTGTACACGGTCCAAGAAAGTATGGACAACAGATGAGAAGATAAAATGTCCTTTTCATTCAAACAGGAGAGAGGAAACTGATCAAAGAAATGAGACTTCAGGGAGCAAATCCTTATGGTCGTCTGGAGTCTTTTAGTTGAAATGTATTTTTAATGCCAAACGCTAAATGGTTTAATGATATTTGGATAAAATTGTTGATTTACAGGTGAGTCTTGTTGATTTACCGCTGACCCACCTCTCCTGGGTTGTCATTGACCATCTTGATTATGGCCTCCACAGCTTTTTCCTTCTGCAGCAGCTGCAGACCTGGAGCGTCTGGATCCGGGACATCACCCAGTCCGTCCTTCCCGTGGAAATCTCCAGCGTGGCGTTTATGAGCCACCAGGGGCTCTGCACAGCCTCGGTACACGGGCACCTGTGTCATGGGACAAGTTCCACTTCACATTCAAGAAGTCATCACTACATTTCAGATGCTTGATTTCTTCATTAACATATTTACATCCAGCCTGTTGCAGATTTTCAGGACGCGCAGCGTGTTCTTGAGCACGTTCTCCAGGGGTGTGTTGCCGTGGCAGCACGTGATCCCCAGGAGCTCCACATCAGGGGCTGCGAGGGCCATCATGATGGCCATAGCATCATCCACCCCAGTGTCCACATCCATGATCAACTTCTTCTTCATCCTACATTGAGCAAGAAGAAAAACATCACATGCGAGGAGAGGTAACTCATACTTTCTACACTTTCTTCCTCTTCAGTTAATATCAGGTGTGCAGCGGCTCATCGGAGCAGTTTTCCTGACAGCCTGAGGATACAATGAGTCGAAGCACGTGACAATGATCAAACACATTTTATGCAACCAGGTCCAAAACCTGTTCTACTGCTTGATAAGGGCTGAGAGAGTTGAAGGTGGTGCGATACAGGAAGCCTGAGAAACACACATACAGCATTTTTTTACCAATCGTATCTATCTATCAATAAAGAGTATCTCAAAATTGAGTTATTTAAAGTTATTATTATTACATATATATCTTTACAAAGTTTGGAATCTATCGTGTAGAATAATATGAAACGTGTGTTTTGACAAACTGTGTGCCAAGTTTTTATCACAAAACTTTCATGAGCTTAACATCTATGAGAGTTACAGTTAAATACTTTGTCGACTTAAACCTGTAAACGACAGAAATAGAAGGTAACAACCCAGAGTTGGTTTTTTCAGAGCTAAATTTCCATTAAATGAATGTTCTAAAACTACGATAAAATGTAAAATCCTTACCTGGGGATTTGATCCTGACTCATGTTTCTTAGGTCTGCACTTTCTGCTGAGGGACTGAACAGAGGAGCTGCCTTTCAGAGCCCAGAAACACATAAAGCAGGCGTCTTCGCTTGAAACTGCAGCAGGGAGGCTCACACTGAAACTCGACACTTAAGTGCTTGAAACTTGTTTATCTGGTGTTTTCTTGGTTGTCAGTGGAGATTATATTTATTGATTTCTGTTGAATAATGACTCCCTTGTTTACTCAGACTTACATGAAAGGAAAAAAGATAATTAAAAACACATTCTTGTAGCTCGCTGCGAGCCACAGCATATCTGTTTGTGTGTAGTCTACCCTACAATCAAAGAGATTTTTTGTGAGTGACTGACAATAAAAGCAGTGTTGAGAAAGACCTACATTCCTGTGTTTTCATGGCATCAGATAAGACAAACTTAGATTTTGTAGAATCTGGGGACTTTCCTCATCTGTTGTAAGTGTTTCTTTATTGTCACAGTCAAGATGTTGACAAGCTGTCTTATGATAACAAGAATGTCCCTTTTTGTCTTAAATCGTAAAAAAAAGAGTAAACAGTACAAATGTTTTTGCTTTTTACATTGTCACAGTTTTATTTCTTCCCCCTTCGTGAGTTCTGTGGTTTAGTAGAAAATAAAAATATATTATAATACTATAGAGAGTGTTGCCCCTTCTCATATGAACTGAGCTTTTATTAGAACCGACTAAAACTCTTAAGTCCTTTTTAAATCCAATCCATGTGAACGTGGGTGTCCGCCCCTCATTCCCCTGAATCTCCTGTGTCTTCTGTTTCCTCTCTGGGCTTGGCCAAGTTGGCCCGGACCCGAGCCTGGTCCACGGCATCCAGCAGATTCTTGGAGTCGAGTGCTAAAGTGTGAGCAGCTGCCAGCATCTGTCGCTGGCACTCCTCCTTCAGCGTGGTCACAGAGTTCTGCTGGGCAAGTCGCATCTTATTGATCAGCTCGCCTAAGTCCTTGTTCAGCAGCTTCTTTGTGCCCTCGATCTTAAACAGGGAGGAGAGAAAATAAACTTCAATGCTGCATTCTTTTTTTTCTTTTCTTTTCTTTAATGATATATAAGGTCTTGTAGGTTTTTTGTGAAAAGACAAAAAATCCTGGATTTGAACAATAGCAGGATGGCTTTCCCTCAGATTTTATGTCTGCAGCATCTAAGACTTGTGTTTTCTGCCACAATAAGACAGACATCACTACTTTGCACACTTCCTCCAGGCATGTTTGTGACAGTGGCTGCTGCAAAGAGGGAGGAAGTGGGACGTACCTCTGTGGTGACAGAGCAGTGCAGGGAGGGCAGGATCTCATCAACACTCTGGATCAGGCTTCGCAGAGTGACACCCACCGCCTGAAGGGAGAAGGGGGAAGGGGGAAGGGGGAAGGGGAAAGGGGAAAGAGGGAGGGTGTGGCAGGGTGGGAGGATAGAGCGAGGGAGGTGCAAGAGGGAAATAAAAGAAAAAGAAAGGATTAAATCGAGTAGATGATTAGAAACTGTGAAGAAGCTCCACAGGTTGTTGATGGACCGACCTTGACAGCGCTGGGGTACTCGGAAGCGGACAGTGTGCTGATGTCATTCTTCAGCTGAACCACCTGTTTCACCATCTCCATGACGCCAGTGTACACCTGGTCACCCGATCGGTCCAGCTCAGCTGTGGGGCGAAGCTACGACACAAAGAAACCCATATTTACACTTACTCACATTTACTTAATCTAATAGTATTTACACTAGAGGCTTGGTTGTCTTTACCTGTGTGACTGGAGGAGGCATTGGGGGCTTCTCTGGAGGACCTGACGCAGACAGAAAGTGTCACACATTTTAAATATGACACTCTATGGACTCTTTATGTGGACATTACTGTATTGAACATTTGGTCATGGTCTTTCACCAGTTAAATATCTGATATCAAAGTGTGCTTTGTGGCTTAAACACTATGAGAGCAACAGGTTATAAAGGTGAAAGCTCGTTTGAGTGAATTACTGTACAAATATAAGTCTTATAAACAGGACTCACCATTTTCCGGGCTTTTTTCAGGAGGCTGTAAAAAGACAGAGAAGTAAAACTCATCGTTTTGACACAGGAGTTTTTATATTTAACACCATTGTGTGGATAACAATGTCACTGTGTGAAAAATGCTGGTCAATAATAAATAAAGATTTTGCAAAGTGTGTTAAATGTGGAAATTAAACTTAAACAAAACCAGAACAGGAAAGTAAACTAGTCTGGGGACTGACCCAACTACACTTAAAAGCCCATGGATGTACTACTGTGTATTTCTATGTGTGTTGCTGCCTCCTACTGGTCAAAAAGAGACTAGTATAGTCGGCCTGCTCAAATTTACACAACAGGAAATTCAAAGAAGAGCATGTACCTTGATTTGTGAATCCAGTCGCACAATAGGATCCTACACGAAAACACAAAATGTTCAGCGGTTGTGTAACATTAGAGTCACATTTTTCATTTGTTCAGACACGTCATGTGTCTAAGATCTTCCTGTAGAGACACACATCTCTGTGTCTTATGGCCACTGACAGATGAATGTATGTGTTTAATTGTAGTTTTTTTTTTTCAAAGGCTTGTTTGAGGGTTAAGACTTGTGTGCTGTGTGTGTGTGTGTGTGTGTGTGTGTGTGTGTGTGTGACTGCTCACCAGTTGTCGTTCCTCGTGCTCCAGCCACTGTTTATCCTTTAGCATCTCTAATTTCTGTCTTTGTAAAGTGTCCTCCACGTGCGCTCTCTCTTTCTCCCACAGTGGCCTGCTATCGCTCTCTGCTGCCTACACACACACACACAAACACACAAACACACAAACACACAGTGTAACTTAGTGGTTTCTATTAATATATTTTTGCTGTTTGTCTAACTCAGCTTTTATTAAAACGTACTCGTTTGTCCCATGACCTCATTCAACTGCAGAAGGTAACTCAACAAAGCTCCCCCTCATGTTGCTATGTTATTTGGGAGGTTTAATCATTATATTGATATTGATATCAAGCATTTTCACTATATCATTTGGAAAGACTTTACTCAGCATCTTTTCTCTTTGTTAGGGGACAAAATGTCCCAACAGGGGACTGAAATAGCTCAGTTACACCTACATTTGGACAGTGCATGTACATGAGAGTGCACATTAGAGTATATTTATGTGTAAGAGCACTTCTGTGTGGCGTGTGTGTGTGTTTGTCACCTGTATGCGCATGTCCCGAGGAAGTGTGTTGCCTTGTATTCTGGAGGGCTGTTGAGAGAGGGAAACACAGGACATGTCATTTAATAAAGGTGAATAAAAAACGTATCCACATAAAAAAATTGCAAATATTTTAAAAATCACGATCTGTAAATGAGACATGACAAAGCAACATCACATATCAAACATAAATAGCAGATAACTGAAATGAACTGTGTATTCTATTTCCTGCACACCAATCATTTCATCGACATCTCAACAATGCTTATCTAGTGGACAGATTCAATAAGCTGGTGTTAGAAGTGAATTTAGCTCCTGAGCTTCTGACATCTGTGTGTGTCGTACCTTGGGTGGAGGGTCTGTGACGTTGGAGTCTAACAATGATGGGTGGGAGCGAGACCTGTCTGGCTTGGGATGCTGCTTAATCTCCATCCTGAGGATGTCACTGTCACATACACATACACAGACAAGTAGTTCAACATCTGAACTTTTGAAATGTCATCCAACCCTTTAAAAAACATTTAATTTTCTCCAATCTCAGGAAGAAACATTGACCTCAAGGTACAATGTTTTCCATTAAAATCCACCTTTTAAACCACAATTTCACAATCAAAACATCTTCAAAACTTTGAAAAATGAAAAAGAAGTGAGGAAAGAAACCCCTGAGTGGGAAGAGAAATCATAAATAATGTGTGTGTGTGTGTCTGCACCTGAGGGAGCAGACAAGCTGGCTGAAGCTGGGCCGGGCGTGCGGCTCGTAGGTCCAGCAGCGGTTGAGCAGGGAAAAGACGGTGGGTGGACAGAACTGCGGTTTGGGGAGTCGCACTCCAGACTCCAGCTGGTGGATCACCTGCCCGTTCTCCAGCCAAGAGAACGGCTGCTGGGCCATTGAGAAGATCTCCCACACACACACACCTGGTTGAACACATGCACACACACTCACGGGCTGAATTTTCTTGTGCTCCACAGAAAATTGGTTTTATCTTCCTGCATTTGATATTTTCTCACCAAACATCCAGACGTCGCTGGCTGCGGTGAAGCGTCTGAAGTTGATGGATTCTGGGGCCATCCATTTGATTGGTAATCGACTGACTGAGGCTGCAAGCAGAAGAGAAATGTGAAAAGACGCATGGACTCAAATAGATATAAATATATTTTTAATTGCATTTCTCTTTACTTTAAGAAAGACTGAAATAATGTGCATGCATGCTGAAGATAAATTAAACCCAAGAACTTTTCTCTACACTGCAGATCAGGGATATGTTGAACACAGACACGTTTGTGTGTGTACCTTTATAATACTCTTGTTCGTCAATGTAGCGAGACAGCCCAAAGTCACCCAGCTTGACGCATTCAGCCGACTTCACCAAGACATTTCTCACGGCTATATCTCTGCAGACAGAACAGGAACCAGACATGAGCTCACACACGAAAATAACAACATGTAAAATTAGGTCATATATCAGTGCTTTATGTACATGCACATTTCCTGTCAATATCTGTGCTAATGCAAATTTTAGCTCTGTAGCTGAATGTATCTTACTTAATGTTTTACATTCAATGATAATAAAATGTCCGTCAGGAGTGAAACAAAGCTCATTTTTATTAGTAGAATATATAAAACATCTCATGGGAAATGCATACGTCCTAGCTCGACGTCTTTGCTGAATTGATTTAGAATTGCATTGTTGCTAAAGACAGAAGGAAGGATGCATGCATTTCTAAATAAATAAATAAAGAATGGGTCGTTTTACCTGTGCACCATGTTGAGTCCGTCCAGGTAAGCCAAGGCTTTGCAGATTTGTAGACTGTACAGGATCAACGTTGGTCCGGTCACGATGTACTGCTGCTCCACGAGATAGTGACCCAACTGTTAGAGAAACATCCACATCCACGTCTTTTAAGATTTGATCTAAGTTGCATTCAGACTCATCTTAACATCA